TTTATGGGGGATACATTGGGAGAGATATTTTTTTTACTGCCAGAGTTAAACGAGAACTATGGGGTCAGTGTTTTTCCCCATAGTTCTCCTTAGGGTAACGGGAGGACACAAACTAGCGTCCTCCCGTTACCCAAAGCTCAGTATACCGCGAGCTACAGCTCGTGGTATACTGAGACGCCGCAGCCGGAGCGGATCCCGACATAGATGACGGGATCCGCCCAACTGCGTGAGTGACAGCTGGCTCTGCCTATCTAGAGGCAGAGCCAGCTGTACCCGCCCCCTCCCCCGTCCGTTCCGCCAGTCAGCGCTGGCAGATCGGAGCGGGGAGAGGGGAATCCAGCCCCTCCCCCTGTCACGGCAGAGAGCCGTGACAGGATCGAGAGGTGAGCGAACCTGGTATGTGTTCGCTCACCTCCCGATCTACTGAGCCGACCTGTGACAGTCTCATTGTCACAGGTCGGCTAGAACTATGAGGTGAGTGGAAATCACTCATCTCATAGTTCTCCTTTAAGAGATGGAAGAGGGAAAGCCAGCAGGAGATTGAGCTCAGTTAGAGGACAGAGCTGGAACTTCTTGGAAGGCACATGAAGTCATTTGGGCATTGAGTGTTCCACTGTACATCAGCACTGAACTGCTGAAACCTATAACCATCCCAGTTCCACTTTGCAAACAACATGCCTTTTGTTTGGGTAACATTTTATATCACCCATATGTACCTGTAGCTGGCGGAGGGGATCCGGAGGAGCGGCTGTCAGTAGAGCGGCTAGGGGAGCAGGCTCCATCAGCGGCAGCTGGAGACTCAGCCATGGAATCCAGGGACAGATCTGCAGGACGAGAGCGGGAGCCCGAGGCGGCCATGTGGTCCGGCAGCTGTAATACTGCGGCAGTCATCCTCAGCCGTCATCTGGACACGCCCCCATCCGGCTTTTCGTTTAAGAAAAATGTAAAGTGCCGGCATCGGCCTTTAGTACCGAGTCATTTTCACAAGTACAATTACTCGTGAAAATGCCCTGTATCGGGCCCGATACCGATGCTAGTACCGGTATCGGGACATCCCTAACTACAACTGTAGTAACAAACAAAAACCTGTTGGGAAAAGTTAGCAAACATACTTACCTTATACTCGGCTTCTGCCTGCGGCAATGGGCGAGGGTGACTTTGTACTACTTCCAGGTGAGATCCTGGAAATGAAGAGGATCCCAAATCTCTAGGTTTGCTGGACTGTCTTCTCACAAGATCTGCAATACCTAAGGGGTTATTCACTAAAGGGTGAAGAGTTTGGAGAAGATCGGAGAAGTGAATAATCTAGGACAGCATAGCCGATTTGGAAAGATTCTCCAATTCAGCTCACTTTCCAGTTCAGCGATGTTGTCCTAGATTGTCCACTTCTCCTGCCTTCTCCAAACTCTTCACCCTTTTGTGAATAACCCTACTAGTGTTCCTAGTAGAACTACAATGTCACCTACGCCTGTTGGGAACCCGCTGTAAGGAGAGGATATGTTCTAACTTTTCTTCACATATCTTATTTTCTACAATGGGTGCAAGGTTCACATTCAAGGCTGACAAAGCTGTCTGGTTATTACAGAACAGATGCACATCCGTTTTCTGACCTAAAGAAGGCTTGCATGGGTTCTATTTAAACCCACTAAATCCAGTAACGCCTACAGAATTAATAAAGGCTAGTAAGAATGACTTGTACCACCCTGCTCCTAAAGTGTGTGTATACATTTCTGTGCTAGACACATTGGGCTGTGAGTTTACTGGGCACACAGACTGATAAGGTGGCTTAATATGTGCTTTGTACAGCACAGCTAAAGCTGGATGTACACTGTTAGATTTTTTTACATTCAGCTTTTGGGTTCCTGGTTCCTCTACCCATGTTAAACAGCGTGGTTGGAGAAAAATCCCCCTGAGGTATTTATACCTGAACAGTGCCTGGATCTGATTGGATGTAGGCGCTGTTTAGCTGACAATTTTTCAATTGAAAGATGATGTCGGATGGGAGGCAGCATAGAGGACCACCCATTATAGCCAGTTTATCAAGAGCCCGCTGATATTCACTCAATGTATTACCACATTAAATTTGTTTGTGCTATAAAAGTGAAGGAAATACGAGCATTACAAGCACAACAGTCAAAGCCTTCCACAGCACACATAATGGACAGCTCCCATACTCCTCCACAGTACTGGCACTATCACACCCAACATCCTATGGCCTAACAAAGAAAGCTTTATTATCCCATGTCCTCCCACACTACCCATAGTGCACCTATTATCCCATATCCTCCCACACTACCCATAGTGCACCTATTATCCCATGTCCTCCCACACTACCCATGGCCTCCTACACTACCCATAGTGCACCTATTATCCCATGGCCTCCCACACTACCCATAGTGCACCTATTATCCCATGGCCTCCCACACTACCCATAGTGCACCATCATCCCATACCCTCCCACTCTACCCATAGTGCACCCATTATCACATGGCCTCCCACACTACACATAGTGCACCTATTATCCCATGTCCTCCCACACTACCCATAGTGCACCCATTATCCCATATCCTCCCACACTACCCATAGTGCACCTATTATCCCATGGCCTCCCACACTACTCATAGTGCACATATTATACCATGTCCTCCCACACTACCCATAGTGCACCTATTATCCCATGGCCTCCCACACTACCCATAGTGCACCTATTATCCCATGGCCTCCCACACTACCCATAGTGCACCATCATCCCATACCCTCCCACTCTACCCATAGTGCACCCATTATCCCACGTCCTCCCACACTACCCATAGTGCACCTATTATTCCATGGCCTCCCACACTACCCATAGTGCACCTATTATCCCATGTCCTCCCACACTACCCATAGTGCACCCATTATCCCATGGCCTCCCACACTACCCATAGTACACCCATTATCCCATCGCCTCCCACACTACCCATAGTGCACCCATTATCCCATGGCCTCCCGCACTACCTATAGTACACGTATCATCCATGGCCAGACATAACGTGTACTGGCATCATTCCAACCATTACTCTATGGGCTCTCACACTTCCTATAGCACTGGCATCATTACTCCTAACATTCCATGGCTGGACATTGAATACATGGTGGTCAGCTCCGCACTGCGCATAGTATTGGCAATATACCCATCATTCCACAGCAGGATGCAGAACACACACTGACCACCTACAACACATGCCCCATGGCCTTCCACAATCCCCTTAGTACTAACATCATTAGAATCATCATCCTACAGCCAGACACAAAACAAGTACTAGCCAGTTCACACGCCAGACCCCCCCCTACGATCCTATAGATGGACAACTTGTACTGGCAGCATCTCAGGGCCTCACACACCCCAAAGAACTGGCATCATTACACCCATCATCCCATGGCCATATACAGACCATGTACTGGCCAGCTCTAAAACTCTGCATAATATTGGCATCATTACACTACCATTTCACAGCCAGAAACAAAATGCTTACTGGCACTGTTAAATCCATCACCCCATGGCCAGACACAGAGCATGTACTAACCAGCTCCCACAAAATTAAAACCCCATGTCCTCCCACAATACTGATATCATTACAGCCATCATCTCAAGTCATCCTAAATTTCGCATTGTGCTGGCATCATTACCACTATAACCCCAGGTCCTCCCACACTCTCCATAGTACTGGCATCATTTCCACTATAACCCCAGGTCCTCCCACACTCTCCATAGTACTGGCATCATTTCCACTATAACCCCAGGTCCTCCCACACTCTCCATAGTACTGGCATCATTTCCACTATAACCCCAGGTCCTCCCACACTCTCCATGGTACTGGCATCATTACCACTCGGAAACACTGTCCATAGCAGCATCATTACACCCATCACCCCATGGCCGGAAACACTGTCCATAGCAGCATCATTACACCCATCACCCCATGGCCGGAAACACTGTCCATCGCAGCATCATTACACCCATCACCCCATGGCCGGAAACACTGTCCATAGCAGTATCATTACACCCATCATCCCATGGCCGGAAACACTCGCCATAGCAGCATCATTACACCCATCATCCCATGGCCGGAAACACTGTCCAAAGCAGCATCATCATTACACCCATCATCCCATGGCCGGAAACACTGTCCAAAGCAGCATCATTACACCCATCATCCCATGGCCGGAAACACTGTCCAAAGCAGCATCATTACACCCATCATCCCATGGCCGGAAACACTGTCCAAAGCAGCATCATTATACCCATCATCCCATAGCCTCCCACTCCACGCATTGTAGGATCACATCTATCCTCCCACAGTACACAATAGTATTAGTACACACATCATCCCATGGCCGAACACACTGTCCATAGCATTATGATTTCACCCATCATCCCATTGCCTCCCACTCCACTCACTGTAGTATCACATCCATCCTCCCACAGTACCCATAGTAGTATCAGTATACCCATCATCCCATTGCCGGACAGACTGTCTATAGCAGTATCATTACACCCATCATCCCATTGCCTCCCACTCCACTCATTCTAGTATCACATCCATCCTCCCACAGTACCCATAGTAGTATCATTATACCCATCATCCCATTGCCACCCACACCACTCATTGTAGCATCATTACACCCATCATCCCATAGCCTCTTGCACTCATCACAGTAGTATGATGTGGGGGACACACAAAGTGCACTGCCTATTCAGAGACAGAGGGTCAGCATTCCCATCATGTCCGGGTGTCCGTCCACCTGTGCCCTGTATACGGTGACAAGGCAGGCACAGCCAGTGACATTTCCGCGAATAGCCGGGCACGAAGTCACAGCTCCAGAGTTGACAATGAAGCCCGGGGTCAGCCAGGACCAGGGAGCCCCCTCCGCGATCACTTCCACCCTCCTCCACCCGGTGCTGCTGACCACAAGGGCCTCTCCCAGAATGGTCCCCCACCCATAGTAAGCGCTCTCACCGCTGTCTCCGATGATGAGCAGCTTGAAGAGATGGTCGTAATCCCGGGCCATGGCAACGGCGGCCTGTGCAGTGGGTGGGCCGGGTCCCGGGATCCGCGCGTTCCGTTCCGACCGAATCCGCTTCCCGGACAAACAGCCGGAAGTGACAGCGAGACCGCGCGGACAGGCGCATGCGCACACTCCGCCCACAAGAGCCCCACCTGGGTGCGCGCTCGGGGCGGCACCCGGCCAATAAACGTGAGCGAGCATTGTGCGGTCAGACACCATTTTGTGTCTTGCCGGCTGCGTGTGTTGTAGTATTCTCTTGTTCTCTTTACTGTCTGTGACTTCTAAGGCCTCATTCACACCGACAGGCTTCAGTTTAGGATTTTCTGGGGAGTATATAGCTTGGTCTACCCCTAACGACTGGGGTGCAGTGTGCTAACATGCAATGCGTTAGGCAGTCTGTTGCTAATGAATGGGGTGGTGAGTGTGCTAACATGCAATGCGTTAGGCAGTCTGTTGCTAATGAATGGGGTGGTGATGATGAAAACCTCAACAGCCCACAAATTATGACCGGCACCTTTTTTTTTTTTTTCGATGGCAGTTCACATCAATGCGCCATACCTAATATATAATAAAATGTGGACAGAACCTTTAGTGCACTAAGACGTGTGCTGGATAGAGACCCTGTCACCAGCTGAATGCTTAGTTGCAGTGTTTTTCCTGCCGCTGGCTTGTGAGACAAACTATGAGACCAAAATACAGTATACATACTGATAAAAGTACATCGATGTGTCACATCTCTGCCCAAAGCGTGGCATACGTGTCTTATTGCAGTCTCAAAGAATGTCACACCTGATGTATGTGTGAGATACTGTGACATATATACAGTATGAAGGTGTGAAAAGATAAGTTACTCCAGAAAGTACTTGGTCTTACTTTGCATCACTTTTCTTATTCTCAAACTGTCAGAGTTTATTTATTGACCATGTCACAAGCACAGAGCCACAATCAAATACAGCGCAAATAAGAACTACTTGAAGTTGGCACAGGAGCCGATATAGGTCTAAAAGCGTTGCAGAATGTCAAAAAATCTGGCGCAGACATTTCTTAGGCTGCATTAGTGCCAGAATGCTGGTGCAAACATGATATTGAATTCCCGACTGTCTCTTGAGTGACAGTTCTGGGTCTTCGGGGGTTGCTGACATCACATCCAACACGGCGGCCCTCAGCAGACATACGGTAGTTACATAGTATTTGAGGTTGAATAAAGACATAAGTCCATCAAGGCCAACCTATTTTTTTTTTAGGTCCATGTATCATCTCATTCTTAAGTGTACCTGTACCCCTGTATATTACGGTCTCTCAGGAAATCATCCAAATGCTTCTTGAATGTTTCCACACTCTTAGCTGAAATCACTGCCTGTGGCAGTGAGTTCCAGACCCTAACCGCTCTCACTGTGAAGAACCCCCTTCGCCCCTTGTGCTGGAATTTTTTTTCCACCAATTTTAGGTGGTGGCCTCTAGTCTTTGTTATGGAGTTAATCGTAAAAAGCTTGTTGCTAATGTTGCTGTCACCATTGAACAATTTGTACATGAAAATCATGTCCCGACCCTTAATCTCCTTACTTCCAACGTGAACATGTTTAAATTTAGTAGCCGTGTCTAATAGCTCTGGTCCTCCATTCCCCTAATTAGTTTGGTTGCACTCCTCTGGACTCTCTCCAGCTCAAGGACATCTTTTCTGTGGACTGGTGACCAAAACTGGGCCGCGTACTCCAGATGAGGCCGAACCAATGATCTATAAAGTGGCAAAATTATAGACTTGTCTCTACAATACATCCCCTTCTTAATACAGGACAATGACCCCCAATTCTTTTTCTCTTTCGGACTCTCCGAGGGGCATACCCATAATTGTATAGCCCATTTGCTTATTTATTTTAATCCCAAAGTGCATTACTTTGCATTTATCGACATTAAAGGGGTTCTAAAGCCTCCCGTTTTTTTGCCTATATCTACTGATGACAAGTAGTAGATATAGGCAAAAAAACAAAAACCGCTTAGACAGCAGTTTAGACTGACCTTATTGCTCCCGCGGCGAGAGTCCGGAACTGTTCGTGCGGCCGCAAAGGATCTTGGGGCGGGCGCATGCGCAGTTCGGATTCTCAGCCGGGAGACGAGCAGACACGCAAGGTAAGTCTATGGACGCGTGCACCCACCTGCAGACACCGCTGGATCAGAAGTGCCTGCAAGCAGAGAGGAGTCAGCGCTGGATCGGAGAGCCGCCGCACCGCTGGAGGGACAGATGAAAACATCAGGAAAGAAGATCGGATTAAGAGACATAATTTAAGGTAAGTGCTAACATTAACATGGGGGAGGGAAAAAAATTATCCTTTAATGTCACTTTAAACCTCATCTGCCATATATTTGCCCACTCACCTATTTTATCCAGATGCTCCTGTAATCAGGGCCGGCCTTAGGGGGTGTGCGAGCAGTGCGGCCGCACAGGGTGCCATGGCAACAAGGGCGCCGTGCGGCCGACACAGCTC